GTGGCAAAGTCGGCCCGCTTGGCTGTGTCCGTCCAGCTGCCAGGGCCCGTGTTGTTGTATTCGCCGAATGTGACTCCTGATGTCTGAGGGTTGTTTGTCTGCCATACGGTCCAGCCAGCGCTAGAGATATGCTTGTCGATGTACGAGTTCGTGTAGATAGCGATAGAGAATTGGCTGTAAGGCCTGCCAAGGTAGGTCGTACCGAAGGTGTTGCCGTAGGTAGCACTGTATGTGATGACTGAAGAATCGAACACATATCCACCGGGGGCGTCTGCGGTGGCCCTGTATTGTGCTGAGATGAAAGCGCCAGGCGTGTTGCTAACGATCATGCACTGATGGAAGTATGCGGTGGAGAAACCCCAAATGAAGTCAACACTACCTTCAACATAGCAGTTGCTGAACACTTGTGTACCCTTGTTAGCAAGTAGGGTGTCCTGGAAACCAACAAAGGAACATCCATAGGCAGCAATGTTCGCTCCGTAGAAGTCGGCAGCCAGTGCTGCGGTGTTGGAAGTCTGAGGGTAGGTGTTGACAAAGTCGATGTTGTACAAAGCCATTCCCGAATCGCCGCTGGGCTTGGAGTATACTACAGGTGTTTGCTCGTTCTTGCCAACACTGGTAAGCTCGCCCCTGGAGAATTCAATGCGGACCTTGTTCATAGTGTAGTCATTGGTGAAGTCGGTGAAGCCCCTCAAAGTGACCTTCCCCTTGCGAGTGATGGAAAGCTGCTCAACGTATGTACCCGCGCCAATCTTGATCGTATATGGGTTTCCGTCGTTGGGGAGGGCGCTGATAGCTGACGTGACGTTCGAGAACTCGCATGGTCCGGGTGTCTTGGAGACTATCAGAGTCGGGGCTGCGGCTGCGATCGTGCAAGAGGCTACTGGGGTAGCACTGGTCATTGTGGAAGCAGTAATAGTAGCGTTCGAGATGGAGCTGGCGGTACTGGCCAGCGAAGCCATCGATGAAGCTGATGAAGACACTGTAGAAGAAACAGTCGACGCAGCAGATGAAGCGGAAGCAATCTGAGCATCATTCGATGCTTTCAATGACGCAATAACGTTTTGATCGACCCATGCAAGCGAAGAGCTAGCGTAAGGGTAGAAAGCATTTCCGAAGACCTTGTCGATGGTGAATTGAGACACCTGATCAGCCGAGAGAAGAACATCGTAGCTAGGGCGAGCTGCGGCGTTCTTGCTATAAGAACCGGCACCGGTAGTGGCGAACTCGCCGTAGAAAGATGGAGTGGTAGCCGCTGAAGGGTGAAATCCAGCAGGGGCAATCAAATTTCCCATTGCTGTGTTCCTGTAGATTGCCACTGAACCGTTGGCAGCTGGCGCCGCCAAGAATACATTGTTGTTTGTATATCCTGTCTTCTGCTGTATCGAGCTCGAATCGAATACGACCGTGGAGTTCGCAAAGGTACCTCCGTTAGGGGTTCCACCCTTGCTGTACACGATAAGAGCACTCGAACTGAGAGGAACGATGGTGGACTTGTACAGATAGATAGTCGGGTAGTTGTAGAAGAGATAGTTCGAGCCCTCGATGTACGAATTGGCGAAGAAGGCCGTTCCGTAGGTAGCGGAGACTACAGTGCCACCAGGCGAGATGATGGAGCACCCATAGAAAGCAACATTGCTTCCTCTGAGCGAAATGGTTGCCGCATTGGCTCCTGGGCCAACGGCAGCTGAATTGACGATGTTGATGTTGCGGACGGTCACACCCTTGATCTTGTCCGTACCAATGCTGAATGGAACAGTAGTAGCAGCGATTGTAACTTTGTTCTCGGACCAATCATCCGCAGCTGTAGGAAAGGGTCCGGCGATCGTAACAGTAGCCTGTCCGATGACAGTGACAGCCTCGGAGTAGGTTCCAGGAAGAACGGAGACAGTGGCGATACCGCTATCTTGTGCAGCCTTTACGGCTACATTGATGGCGGTGTAATCCCCAGATCCATCGGTGGCGACAGTGATGACCGATCTGGGGCCTGTCAAGGTAGCCGAAGTAGTTGTGAGAGGCGTCGACGATGTCGAAGAACGACTCGCAATACTCAGAGTGGCATTAGAGGCACTACTCTGAGCAGCCGCAAGCCCGAGCAGGGCGGCAACAGCGAACGAGCGCATAACGAATGACGATCAATCGACGAGGATGAGAAGCGAGCGATGGAGATCGGAAGTACATGATATTAGATGGTACTTAAGCTCGAAGATCCTCACCAAGGGTTCACGGGGCTGACACCGAATTGGGTATACTACGACAACGTGGTCTGGATCCCGATTACAATCTGACATCTCGTTAAATCCGCTTTCACGCTTGTCGCCCGACTCGTAGGTACATCTGACAGGGTAGATAGCCGGTGGGTCTCTTCAGAGAGGCCAGGGGACAAAAGCCACAATCGATAGCTGCTGCCGTGTGAGATCCTCACGGTGGCAATCCGTTTTGATCGAACCCCCATCGCTGATGAGATGCCGCTGTTGGGAAGATAGTCTTGTCCATCAATATTGATGGTGCCGGCTTTAGAGCCAAGCGGTACCTACTAATGGGCGTAGGATGCAGGAACGAAAGTAAGATCCCAAAGAACTATGGGAAGCTAAGAGCGTTCCTGCATGGCGTTCGTCTGGGTAGGAACAATCTTAGAAGCGTCGCCCGTTGCTTGACGAATTTCCACGCGTGTTAGCGCGACGTGGCTTGGGTTCAGTGTCGGTCCGGCCAATTTCACCGCGCGAAAGAGCCCCTAACCCGAACATTTTGAAGGCGGGACTTCAACATCGAGCCGCGGCGGTACTCATGAGTAAACAGAGTTGGTACTGAGAAGGCAGGTCTCATCCCGGCGTTGATCGACTAAGTGGTGTGTTGTACATACGATCCACCCATGCATCGGCAGTCTGGAGCTCTAAGGACCAGGGTGATGTGGATATGGAAATCTTTCTGGAGAAGGACCCATGCACCTGTGTTAGACCACGAGGGCATCGCGAAAACCCAGCGTTTCCCAGATAAGCGTCCAGAGTCGACATTTTGGGGTTGGAAGGCCTATCCAGTGTTCTGGGCATCGGATCTGGTACCAGGTGGGACAAGCTCTACGACTAGCGGGCAAAAGTGGCGCGCCGGAAAGCTTGGTAACTCAGTTCCTGGCGCTCGGTAGCTGCGATAACGCGTTTAGGAGGCGTTGTGATTCAGCTCGCTATTCGTAGTACTTCGGGCGAGAGAAAAGAGTTGTTCCTCCAATGACTTTGGTAGTTTCCGCGGCGCGAGGACTGTCGGGAAGCTGCGACGGACAGATTGTTGTCGCGATAACATCCACAAACGCTCACCTGCTAGGCTGCGGCTGAGATGGATGATAAAGGCCCGAATGACTTCGGATACGCTTTACGGACGAATGAGTGCAGGCGCCTTCTGGTGTTCGAGCTCTCGGGTTCTGATGGCCTCTGTTGGTGGTCCGGTCCGTTCATAGGGCTGGTAAGCATGACGTTGCGAGTGCCGGCAGGCACGGTTCCGCGCGACGCAACACGCCGCTCACCCGTCCATTGTCCAGAACTCGAGGCTGCGACGAAAACTTTCTAAGGGTCCGTTAGTCCAGGGGCGTCATGCGAGATATATTGCTCCGCGGGGTCAGACATGATGTTGTCTCACACTGAGGAAAAGAAAGTTGAAGGTTTGAATGGAAGCCGCGTATTAACCGAGACAGCCCGGTCGCCCCTATGATCGCATCCATGCAGAGGTCGTCCAATTCTCGGAGCTGCTCTCTCTCTCTATCAACCCATGACTACTCCAAGCTCTGCTACTTCTTGGAAGTTAGATTTTCTCCCACGAACGCCTTCATAAGCTCCTGCTCGACCTGCTCATCAACAGTGGGTGGTGATGACACGGCCGCCATGCACAAGATCAAGCCGCCACCACCAAATAAAGAGAATGCCACAAAAGCCATCACCCGCAGAGGTAGCGCACGTGATGACGACCAGAACGCAGGAATCAGGTAGTAGGCTGTTACCAGGAAGAAAACACCTATGCCAACTAGAACATTGGTCAGCGCATGGTCGTAGTCATGCCGACATGTGGAACATACTTGAGATAGCGCGACTTTCACGAGGTAATGCACGTTGGTTTTTCTGGCTGAGGAGTCTGGTCTTAACCTCTCTATACACACACCATCCCTCCTCCGGACCGAAGATCTCGAGATACATCTTCGGAGGGTAGTCGCGCAATTCGCGTCCAGTGCCAAGCCTCCACTTGTCCGCTATGGCGCTTGCATGTTCACGAGAGAGTCCGCGAGAGACAGATAGAACTTCGGTCAAGAACTCGCGAATATCGGTCGGAAGAGCGTCAGATTCTGGGATGACAGGCTGCGAAAGCGCGTACAGTGGTGCCTTTTCCTCGCGGTCACCGTGGTCTTGGAACGAATTCGTTGACATGTTTTCTAAGCAAAATGAGATAAGTCCTCGCTCACCTCAAGAGAAGGAAACACAGCGACGGTGGTTCTAATCAACTACCTGAGCAGAGCTTGATGATCGGCGTTGGTTCTTACGTCAAGGCAGTGGCACAGCCCTGGACAAGGCTGAATTCTTGGCATTCTGAAGCACGCGTGCAGTATGGACTGCCAACCAGAGCTTCGTACTGAGCCATCCTGCTCGTGTTCTCACCACTTCATCTTCATTACCTAAACCATATTCAGTGGTCTGCCTTACACTAAAAACAAAGACCGGAGACTACCTAGGTGATTACTCTCAGGCCAGTCACGTGCATCTCAATAAGCGACCGGAACCGGCACGTTGCCCAGCAAAGCCCGCTCGGCACGGTTGATCATTCCCGAAAACCTTGGAAGCGACGCTGGATCTGGGCAGTCACAGTCTGGGTTGTTCGAGGAAAGTACTATCCATGAAGGCCACCGATAGCAACGAAGCATGAAGAGATCGCGGTTAGGATGAGCTGAATGGTAAGGAGCAGCAAAAGCGCAAGTTCGACCTCGTGCGCTCGGGTTGGACTTCGAAACGATGCGACAGCGCTCACTCTTGCGTTTTCGGCGGAGTTCTTATTGGGGTCTTCTGCGACTTGGTGTGCATGTCGTCAAACTCGGGCAGAGGCTGCGTGTTGGCAGTGCGCATGGTGGAAGACCACTCATCTGCACGAACGCCTCTAAAAGCGTTCTCTGCTATCTGCTGCAGGCGCCATTGGACCTTTCCACATACAGTATTAGCGATCGCATCCCGAAATAGAGAACAGCATCATGGCTCTCGTCTTGCAACTTACACCACCATCATCTTCAAACAAAGCCCCATGCTGGAGCTTCGAAGGAATATCATTCACTTGGGACTGAGCCGAGATGATGGGAAGAGCGTTGTAGGAACCGAACTGCTGGTAGGCCCCGCCGACGCTCAGGCACGCACCGTCGTTTCCTTTTGCGACAGCGTTATCGAGAGGACAGTTGTCACCCTTATAGAAGGCGATCATAAGGTCTTCATCGGTATCTCCTTGGGCGATGTAGACAGATTGAGCGTTGGTGCTGTATAAGCTGCCGTCCTGACAACCATCATCTGGCGTCAAGCCGACTACTCCACCAAGACGTTCGCCTCGGCAATGGATGCCGGTATAGAATTGGACGTCGTGGCCTAGAGAAGGCAAAATGAGGGTAACGAGGCCGGCGGCGATGGTGTTGTGCATCTTGGTCGCAGTTGTGGCTGAAGAAATAGTCGATGTTTGCGCGGTGTGATCTTGTGCTTGATGTAGAGGGAAGGTCGGTCTTTTATGTCATCTATGACCAAAGAGCGCTCACACATCATTCTTCACTCACGGTCTGACTGCGTACCTGCGTCATCCCCGCGCCGCCTCGGTTATCGCTCCCCTACCTCATCCCGGCTCATAACGTAAAGTATACCAAGAGGACGTGTCCGTCTTCCAAGAAGGAATATTTAGGTACGTTTCCAAACCATGCTGCTCGTCACGGGATAGGTAGGGGGGAAGTAAGGGCCAAGACGGGCGAGCGGCATGGATGGTTGATCCCGCTTGGGCGTCGCCGTGGCTAAGGAATGACGTCGACGCTGGCTTGGGTTTCCGCGAAAGGAAGGGAGGGTAGTTGAGTTTTGCGGATTTCACGAGTTGCAAGATAGTTTGAGAGACCGTTTGAACACATAATAATTCATTACTCATATCATCATCCCCTCCCACATAAACACAATGGGTATCTACAGAGTGTACCTGAAGCCCTCAAGGCCCTCAATGATCTTGCCTCCGTTGTTGGCACGCTTGTTCGCCATCCAGAACTTCAAGTTGAGCAACAGCGAGATGATAATGATCATACCCGACGCAATCATGCAAGCAACGATACCAGGGACGTAGGAAGGTGCGTCCTGGGTACGGAAGACAGTTCCACCGATGATACCACCGATACCGCCGGCGCCGACGAGTGTAGCGCTGCAGAGAGCGCGCTTCCATTGGCCGCGGATGTTGTTGGCTTGCCAGGTGAGGATGCAGGGGACGTTTGCGTTTGCAGCGGCGGTAGCGAGGAAGACGCCTGAGAGGGGTTGTTAGTGCATGTACAGAGAGGGCAATGGGGATGAATGACTTACCAAAGTATCGGACACCGACGTTGGTGCTGAAGCCGATCATGGGAAGACCGATGAGAGCGAGGACACCGTTGGCGATGACCCATGGGCTGCGGATGTGGTACTTGTCTCCTGCCCAGGCAAAGCCAACCATGACGAAAGCGGCGAAGACGTAAGGAGGTGCGATGAGGCAGTTTGCTGCGGCGGGGCTGAAGCCCATACCGTCCTTTAGGATGATGGGCAGGAAGTAGGCGATGGCGTAGGTGATGGTGGTTGTGAACATGAAGATGAGAGCAAAGCCCCAAACTTTGAGGTCCATGGCGCCCGCGAGGTAGCTCTTGAGGTTAAACTCCTCAGCGATGACATCGTGGCGGTCTTCTTCGATGCGGGCGACGATGAAGTCCACTTCGTCTTGCTCAAGGAACTTCTTTTGGGTCGCACTGGGCTTGGCTGCTAGCTCGGGGAAGTCAACGATGAAGTACCATCCAACGACACCGATCAGAACGGTGATGACTCCTTGCATGATGAAGATCCATCTCCTAAAGAGGTGAAAGTACGAAGTCAGTATATGTCTCACATGCACTTCGTATAGTTAGGACTTACCATCCTGAGAGACCAGGTCCGAAGCTGACGGGTGTGGTGGGCGCCTTCTTGGTGGGTCCGTAGTGGGGACCAAGCCAGTATGCCGCTTGTACGCCCTTGCCGTTGAGAAGAGAGAAGAGGTAGCCGAGGATACCTGAGAAGGCAGACGACAGCATACCGATGAGGAAGAAGACGGTGTTGCGCTTCTGGAGTTCGAATCGCTTGTACCAGCATGAGAGGAGGTATGCAGAACCGGGGAAGAAACCAGCCTCGAAGATACCGAGGAGTAGACGGAGTGGGATGAGTGTGTGCCATTCCTTGACGAAACCGAAGCCAATCATGACTGCTCCCCAGATGATGACGATAGATGGCAGGAAGAGTCTTGGACCAAGCTTCCTCAGCACAACGGTAGCTGGTGGCTGGAGTGCGACGTATGTGATGAAAAAGAGTAGCACGATGATGCTGTATCTCTCGCCAGTGAGCTTGAGATCGACACCCATACCGGCAACCATGGCGACACCTAGGTTGGTTCTATCCATGAGAGAGACACAGTACATGCAGCCGAGTGTGGGGATAAGACGAAAATCGACCTTGCGGACAATCTTCTTCTGCTCCTCGGGTGTGAAACGACTGATGGCGGCATTGCTGGCGGTTGTGTCGGACTCGATGCGTTCTAGGGTGGCGACGTTGCCCTTCTCTTCAGCGTAAGATGCCATGGTAGCTATTGGAGACTCTCGGAGTCCTCTGAGGCCCGTCAAGGGGGTAAGATGTAGACCTTGATGAACGACGAGAAGATCAACAAGGCGTAAGGGAGAAGAGAAAAGAAGATCTGACTTGTGGTGGAGAAGGATGAGAGAGAACCAAATCCACAACTGCAGGATACTCGACCTCATATACACATTGGCTTCCCCAGACTACTGATCTCGCCTTCCCCAGATTCTTTGCGGCGTCGGCTCCACCGTACCCCAGACTCTCCAAAACTTAGCAATTTGCATTGGACACTGACAAGCTCTCCAAGCTATCTCGCCTACAACCTATCGAATTGACACTGGCACGGAGCCTCAAGCCCATAGCTCCGGAGACGATTCACCACAGCGGTTAGCAGTACTCATACCAAGGAGCTCCAAGCAGCATAGCATCCGCGATAGTGCTGTCTGGACCCGGCAGTCTGGCGGTCTTGACTCCGGTACAGCGCGCAGGCGCATGTCAAGGCGTTTCCGACAGTCACGCCCAGCCTATACCCCGCGTGAACAGCCATTGTGATGATGGAAATCCGGAGGTGGCTGCGACAAATGGGGTAGGCTGTTGGTGGTTTGGGGCCTGGGCAAGCACTTAGCGGGGTGTCCGCTGTGCGCTACCAGCACGTGGCGTGGGCCCAGACTCTCAAACCAAGGCCTTTTGTTAGACAAATTGCCGACAGCCATTGCCATCCAACATTGGCAGGACATCTTCCGCTGGCTCATCGACTGATTATCGAGGTGTTGATGTACTACGAGCGGAAGCGTTCCACGATGCCTAGATACATGTGAAGACGATGCCTTCTGGTCGAGCGGTGAAAGTAAGTGCATGAGGCTGTACTTCGTATAGCTACACATACGCTGCCGCTGTACTTTAATACAACCGTTCGTATAGCTGGACCAGTAGGCCTTCAGCTTCGCCACTGTGTTATTGTCGTCTGAACTCATCTGGGTTTTGCGCAAGAAGCGGAACTGTCCATGGTCGTGATCTGATCATGTGTCTCACCGGCCCTTCTTCCGGTTCGTAGCTCTCATGTCTCCACGATTTGACACTTTCAATGGCGGATATTGTAGGATGTTGTTTCAAAGTTTCTTGTACTAGCACAATCTTTGACGGGATTCTCCGTTCGCATGGTCTCTTAGATTCGCCAAACGCCAAAGGTATCAGCAGCCATATTGTTGTTTGAATTTTCGTGTGGTTGTCACGCGTCTTGCAAACAGCATCTACTGTTGTTACTCCGGTGTAGGGTGTCGTCTGGTGATGGAATTTTTCTTTGGTGGATACTTCGTCTTGCATAGCGTGTCGACATGCGAAAAGGGTATCGATGCAAATGTTTCTCATCCAAAGTGTGGCGGTCATCGTATGGCTCTAGCCTGTCGCTACTGGAAGACCAACCAGTGCGCTTTTTCTAGCTGAGCTGGGCGGGTGCTGCCCAAAGCCGTACCGAGGCAGGACGAGTCTGCTTGTGAAGATGAGTATCAGGATGAACAGGTGTGAGAAGCGAGGTGGAAAAAGAAGATGTCGTCTGTGCAGGTCTATGTAGTTAGTTTACCGAAAGCTGGGGTCAGATCCGAGGGTGTGTTGCGGTTGCCGGCGTCGCTGATCAGTGATCCCCATGTTCGTGCCGAGCCGCACTTGAGTCGTGACAGAATCACGTGACTCTGCGGCTCGAGTCAGCTACCTGGGTGACAGGCTTGGTGACAGAAGTCGCGACACCAAGCACCCCGCACCCCGTTTTTGTCTATGCCGGAGTGTGGAAGATCTCGAGAAGCAAGTGTAAAGCTTCTTTGTGAGTCTGTATGATGCCGAGTTTTCCGTTTCAGTCACGTCTGAACTTTTGCACCACGCTTCATCGGCCTCGGACAATGAGTGAGCCAGATACATGAGGTGTGCTTTTGCTGCGTAAAGGCTACGGTTCCCATTACGGAAGAAAGATCCCAAAATGTGTCCTCCCTTACGGCACGATAGTTGACGTGGATTGGACGAGGTAGTTAGTGAGGCCAGTGTTCAGCAGTAGGCATTCCATGGCTGACGAGGCTGCCGCACGCACCACGGGATGACTGGGCCTACTCCCGTAGACCTGTATGAGGGTCTCCATTCAGGCCTCAACGGACACTAAACACCTGGAGTATCTGGGGAGCAAGTGACGTCAGCTGGACAAGACCAGGACTGACGCCTGACCAGACAGGTGATCCCCCACGTGTACAGCAAAATTTGGACCAAATGCTGTTGAGCTGAGACATATTCCGACGAGACGTCCTCATTCAAAGCTTCCATTCGTAGATCATGATGGAAAAGCTCGGGATTGTTACTATTGCTTTTCGCTCCCCCGTCGCGTGGTACCTGTAGTTGACAGCGGAGGGTATGAATTTTCGCCCACAATAGCCGCTGGGTGGGTCTTTTGGGCATCCTAGATCCAAAAGTCCATGGCGTCAGCGCCAGAAGTGGGTCCGTAGGGCAGCGAGAGCCGCAAGACCAAGTGTTCGGGATCCAATTGGAGACACTTTGGGCAGCGAAGGATTCATTGCTGAGACGAAGTGACATGCCGCATGTGAGTCACACGTCCTGATCGAAACGTAGTCTCTAGAGAGGAATTGCTCGCGCGAACGAACTGAAGCTGGATAGCGCGGTGAAATGAAAGCGTTTAGAATGCCATTGCTGAATTTCGCTCGGGTTCCAACGAGATGGTGGATTTGTGGTGGGCTGCGCTTAGCGAGTTCCCACGCGTTCCTCCACCCAACCAGCGCTAGCCAAACGGCGGAGACGACAATGGTTAGGAAGGCGCGACCACGATTTTGA